GGTTTCCAAGATAGATCGGAAGTAAGTGTTAATCCTAGAAAATTAAGGGTAGATGACTCATCAAGTACATTACCATTTATAAATATAGGAAGATCCAAATTATTGCGATAACAATTGGCTGAAAAAAATTGAGTTTTATCTGAATTAAAGTTCACCAGCCACTGTGAACCCCATGCTGTAGCAGAAGTGAGATCCTTCTCAAGCTCAAATGCCCTCTCCAAGCAATCAGAGAGTGTTGGCTTCTTATCATGACAAAAATAAATAGTAATATCATCAGTGAACAATGCCCCTTAGATGTGAGAATATTTGGAAGGTTGTTAATGTAAATTAAAAAGAGTATAGGACCAAGGATTGAACCTTAAGGAATCCCTGAAGTTACAGAATATGAAGAAGAGTCCTGTCCATCAAGGACAACTTTTATACTATGGATTGGAAAGGAAGGATTCAATAATTTTAAAGATGTTACCAGATCCACTGTAAGAAGAAAGCTTATGGAGAAGACCAGCAAGCCAAACAAAAGCTTTAGAAATGTCGAGACTGATGACCTTTACATCTCCACCATTATCTAAAGCACAATAAAACCTATCGGTTATTGCTGTTAGCAAATCAGCTGTAAAACGAGAAGATCGAAATCCATATTGATGATCAGAAAGTAAGTTATTAGATTCAAGATGAGAGATTAAGTGTTTGTTAATTGAAGATTCAAAAACGATAGGAAGAAGGCTAATGGGATAGTAGTTGGACAAATCAGATCGTTCTCCAGAATTTTTGAAAATGGGAATAATAAATGCCACTTTCCAACAGGCTGGAAAACAAGATTCCGATAAGCACTTGTTAGTTTTGAAAGTATAGACGACAGCTCCGGAGAACACTTCTGCAAGACTATAACAGGTATGTTGTCCAGGCCACAAGCTGTAGAAGAGTCTAAGCAGGAGATCACTTTAGATACAGAAGCTGGAGTGATACCAATGTCAAGCAATGGATCAACCTGTTTGTTGGCTATATCAAGTAGAATGCAACTAGTGGAATCAAAAGATGATATTGATGAAAAGCTCTTAGCAAACAATTCAGCTTTGCCTTTATGTGAGGTGACAAAGTCTGAACCATGCAAGAGAGGTAAAATAACAAATTTGCCCTTATCATTGATACTATTAAAGATTTTCCAGAAGTCACGAGAGCCTAGTTTTTGTGATAAAATAAAAGGTTTCATGACCTGAGAATAGCGGACTTCAGCGTTAGACAAAACCTTTTTTCAATGGTTTCTAGCAATAATAAACATCTGTTTTCTGGATAATTATTTTGCTGATAAATAAGGAATTAACGGTTTCAATTGGAAATTGCAGCAGCACAATGTGAGGAAAACCATGTAGAAGACTTGACCTGGAATTGTCAAGAGGGAATAAAAGAGATTCCATGCCAGCCTGAATCCACAAAGTTATGCAAGAAACACATTTGTAAACAGGAAGACGAAAGATTTCTACCCAAGGGCCATTACAAAGAAAATCATAAAAAGAGTCCCTGTCAACATTAAGGTAGTTGTACGATGTACATTGATGATGAAGAAAAATGAGATAATAGTTTTAGAGAGATCAAACTGTGATCAAAAGCACCTAAGGGTGAGTGTGGAGAGACTGAGCACTGACTGAGTGTGATGAGCATTAAAGTCACCAACAACAACAATATTGGCTGATGGATAAAGAGAGAGGGTTTGGTCAATTTGATCAAAAATAACAACAAAAAGAGTGCAGTCTTGAGATGAAGGAGAGCGATATAGAACAAATAGAAGGCGATGGAATCCACCAACTATTTTTTTATGTACTTTCATTAAATGAAAGTACATAAAAAAATAGTTGGTGGATTCAAACCTAGTTTCCCGAGAAATGGGTGAATTCTAATCAATGTAAATGCCCGAGCCAAGCATGTGACTATTGGGGTCTCTACAACTTAAAGGATGATAACCATCAACACTAAGATCACAAGATGAGACAGCTGAACACAAAATAGTCTCACAAAGAGTGAGGTATTGTAAGTAGGTCTGGTGAACTTTGCAAGAGATAAGACTCAACAGAAGAAAAATTACTTCAAAGAACACAAATATTAGTGAATGATAGGTTTAGAGAACTAAGTGATGACGATGGTTTTTTGTGTTTTATAGTTTTTGGTACATTATTCATTTTTAAATTTGTTAAAGAACTTGACTCAAAGCATAAACAGTTTAATAGCCCAAGTAATTGCCTCATTACTATTAATAAACCCTAAGCCATAACAAAGAGCTCCAAATGTGGCCTTGACAATGCGCACCAAATGTACAAACAGGAACACCATCCTTGCCCAATATGGCACTGTTAGTACTTTGATATTTTTCAGCTGTTGATGGAATCAGCCTCTTTGAGAGTTACCTCAGAGTTTGGGAAACCTGACTACCAGCCAGCCTCAGAACCATTAAACTTTTAGAACTGTACACTCATTAGGAGATAATAGAATGAGTTGCCTAGTCATTTAAACAGAGACACAAGCAAAGCCCATGCATTGAGTAAAGAAGATCCACCATTCAACACCCTAAACTGGAAACAAAGTTTTATAAATACATATTCGCCAGCCTAACAGATGAAGAAGGGGTGCGAGACTGATCAACAGATAGAATCTGTTTAAGTTTTTGCCTAGGAGGCCTTCTACAAGATAGTAATCGGATGCATTTAACATCTGCCCAAGATAAGTATTTTTATCAAGACACCATCTCTAGCCTTTACTCAACCAAGAACCCCAAGGCAGGGGGTATTTTAAGTCGGAGTTGACTTCTCCTAGCCTCTGCCTAAAAAAGCACATCCTACAAGGCAGCAGGGCATGAAGCAGATTGTACTGGGTTACATATTACCAGTAGCAGGATAACCTGACCTGACAACTTAGAAAATATTAAATATAATGTTTTTTAACGCGCGCTGCAGAACATTGACAATTTTAATCATCATCTGTCTTGAATTATTGCTATAAAACATTAATTATTGCTTTAATTAATAAAAAGTTGCCTGTAAATTTGTTAAGTGTAAAATCTATAAATATTTTTTAAATAAAGGTTTAAGAATTTTTGAATATGTATTATATTCAAGACAATATTTTTATATTTTATATATTTTAGCATAAAAATCCTAATTTTATTTGGTTCTCGCGCTCTATGAAAAAACATTCTTTTGTTTAGCTTCCTATAAAATTTATAGGAAAGTCCTATGATTGGTAATAAATGCTTATTTTAAAAAACAAATAAAACAAAAACAAATAATATTGATTCAAAAAAAAAAATTCTATGATGACATCATTTACTAAAACTCTTTGGAATTAAACGCGCTTGAATAAATTAGTAAAAATAAATAAAGTTTGTAGATTGTGGCATATGTTTTAAAGAATTTAAGGAACTGGCTAACATGGAGACAGCAACCTTCAAGTAAAACAACATATCTTGGTATACCTTTATATTTTTGTTTTACTTAAAAAAATTCTGCCCAAACATTTTTTTATCATTCTCTTTAATATGAACACATCTCGTCTCAGCACTTTGGGATCCCTTTAAACAATATTACAAAAAATGTAATTACCAATATAGGTTATATTAACAGTGGTTCTTAAGCTTTATGCAGGACCACGTTCAAATTTTTAGTAAATTACAGCTCCCTTCTAAACTTAATAGTAAATAAAGGAAGAAGAAAAAAAAGGCAAGAAAACCTCTTTATTTATTACTATCAAGTAACATTTAATACATGACAGTTGTTTAATGTTTAATGTTCTTCTGTTTTTTGTCAATAAGCACATCAAATTGAGGAAATGTCATATACAACATTGGATACATATATTGTCTTTAACATCTAACCAGTTACGATTTTTAATTTTAATTGACTCTAATGCTGAGAACCCTGACCCACAAAGTTAGCAAATGGAATTATCATGGAGATTGCTCATTTAACAAGGAGAGGGCAAGCTTGTCCTAAACTACACCAAAAATCACAAACATTCTTTGCATGAAATTAGCTTGCAATACTGCTTTGGATCTCAAGTCAATTAAATTATCTTTAAAAAGATCTTCATCATTAATATCAGTCATAAATGGGCCATGCATCCAAGTCTCATGATTATAGCTTTGAGGGCAAAAGTACCCTTTAAAAGAGTTCTGTAGTGTTTCAAGATAATTTGAGACTTCATTTGGTACTTCTTCATTTAAGCATTTTTATGATTACACTTCACTGTGCAACAGCAGTTCTTCCACTGTGCAACAGCAGTTCTTCCATTGTGCAACAGTAGTTCTTTCACTGTGCAACAGCAGTTCTTCTAACATACAAAAATTAACTGTAATACTCACTTCACTCTTCTTTTCCAAAGTGGAAGAAGAGCTTTTAACTTTTAGTTAGTGGATTAGTGGATGAAAAGCTTTTAACTTTTCAGTTGCATCCACAAAAGTGACGACAGGATAGTGATCGCCTCAACTTTCTTTTTTTGATCTCTGGCTTTATAAGAGTTTCTGCAATAGTTTGTTGCTTTTTTGGGGGACAATACAACTTTGTATGATGCTTCTAAATATGGTTTTTGTGTTGGAGTAAAAACTAGTTTGGGTAAAGTGCCGGCTCTCTCAAATTAAGCTTTTTTGCTAATGTTTTTTCACACAAAAAACATTAGCATTATCAAATGTGTTTTCTGGGTAAACAGATTTAAGATGTTCTGATTTGATTCATTAACAAAAGTGAAACTGTAAGTTACATGATTGTTATAGTTTCTTTTTTTTTTTTTTTTTTTTAATTTTTTACAAACTGTAACAAAGAATAAAATTATTTTTTTATAAAAATACACTCCAATTAATGTGTTTATTAGATATTAGACTGCATATATTTTGCTATCAATTGAAAATATAAAAATTTTCCTGTTCAAAAAATCAAAATTACAATATTTTGAATATTTAAAATTAAATGTTGCAAAAAAATATACAAATCTACAAATTCATATTCCTTTTTTTTTAGCCTTAGTTTCTTTGTCACTCTACCATTGTATTCTGCATGCTTTGTAGATACTGTTCAGGTATATTTACTTATGTTGTGAATTATATAGAGAAAATAAGTTTTTAAAAATCATACTTAATATTTTTTAATATTATTTCAAGTTTTAGTCAAGTTATTATAACATTTTATGTTTATTTTATAAACATAAAATGTTATAATAACTTGAAAGTATTTGAATTTAATTTTTTTCTTCTTTTTTTTTTTGTAATACATACTTTTGAATCTTTTTAAGTCATCAAAAAAACAAGGAAATATTGAAATATTTATAAAAAAGAAAATACTTTTAATAAACATAAAAAAACTTTTAAAAACTTGAATTTTTGAAATAAAATTTAGTTTATTGTGTAAAAGATAAGTTTTATATAATAGTTTAGTTATTTGGTTTTATTATTAAAGAAATTATATGTATATATATAAAGGGGCTTTTCTAGACCGTTTTCGACACCATTGACCGTATATAGGCGCAAGTTAAGATATTGAAAAAAACAGTATTTGTCAGAAGAAATTTTTTCTTCTGACAAATACTGTTTTTTTCGCTAACAATTTTCTTACATATGGCGAATTTCCTTAGGGGTCGTCCATAAATTACGTCACGCTTTACGGGGGAGGGAGGGGCGATTTTGTGACAATTTGTTATAAGAGGGAGAGGGGTCTCGATTTTGTGGTGCAACTTTTTCTTTTTTTTTTTAGTTTTAAATCTAGAGAAGACTTTCTTTAAATTAAAAGATTATCTGACTGAACCAATACCCTGATTGAGCCAAAACCATATAAATATATAAAAGATTATCTGACTGAGCCAAAACCATATAAATATATAAAACATATTCAAATCAAACTTGTCTAGAAGTTTGACAAAAATGATGAAAATTTAAAAAAGCTCATTTTCCAAATATTTTTATTAGTTGAGTTGTGCTACTAGTTGAGTTGTGCTTCTGCTTATCGTCATCTAACAGCGCAGGTAAAAGATTTATTAGCACACTGACCGCTATTTTTTCAGATAAAAGACCTTCAATAAAGCAGACCCGGTTCTATTTTATTGGTGGCCCTAGACACAGACCTTGTTACAGATATTTGGCGGGCCTAGGTATAGTTTATATAGTTATGTAGTTATCGATGATTTATGTTGTTATTTTTAAACCCATATCTTCCCTATCTTATACCATATCATGTATAATATTATTTTTAAGCCCATATCTTATGGGTTTTATAAACCTCAAATAAAATTTTTTTTTTTTTTTTATACTTAAAAAATATAATTTATATTATTAAACACTTAAGATTTAACAACTTTGATTTGAAAAAAACTTTTTGTGCGTTCTTTATACTGACGTATATAATTCTCAAATAAATTGCATGTTGTAGATGTTTTATTTTCGTTTAATTTTTCGGACATATAATCTGTTTTGCTCCCTCACTGTATCTAAGTTCATTAATGGAAATAACAGGCATCTTAAAAATAAGAAAACAAAAACAGTAAAATAAAAAAAGAAGTTTCCATGATAGGTCAGATAAAAGATAATTCGAGAAGACAAAGTGGAGGTAAGAGTGTTTCCATTCATCAATATCACAACAACATTGCGATAATTATTATCAGTAAACAAATGCGTTTTTGTTTGAGTTAAAATTTACCAGCCATTTCAATTTACCAGCTATTTTAAGCTCTAAGCTGATTCAGAAGGAAGATCAGATCAAACTCAAGATCAGCTGTCTGTTTTAAGCTATCAAAAGTTGATCAATTTTTTTGTCAAGACCTGCTGAAGAATGTTTTAGCGAGAATAAAGTATGAGTAAACTTTGGCTCTAGCCAGATTAATCTATATTTTAACTTATTATGATACGGATTAATCTGAAAAGAGACAAAACTGGATTATATCTGATAAAAATACTAGTTATAAATAAGTTTTAAATATGCAAGATTTATTTGATTACTAGTTATAAATTGAAAAAAAAATCTTTTTATACCAAGATTACAAATCAGACAAATAACTAAAAACAAATGTTAAAGTGAAAAAAAAAAGGTTTTTGAAACCTAGTATTTGCGAATGTTTTCAAGTCCAAAACTGCTCCAGCGTTGTTAGTTTCTCGCGAAGTCTAAAACTGTTAGTTTAACTACTCCCATAATTTATGTAATGAAAATTTTTTGACCAAAAGAATCCGTGTTTTAAATGTTGTTTCAAAAAATTACTTTTTTTATCATTTACGTCCAGGTATGGTGATCTAATAGCTGGTTATTGTAATTACATCTTAATTTTTATGCCGAAAATGAATTCTCTGACCTAATCAGTCAATTTTGATTTTCAAATTTCAATTAATATAAATGAATTCCTTTACCCAAAAATATTTATTTTGTTTTAAGTCAATTTTGTATTTTGATAAAAAAAAATTTATTTTAATATTTTTCAGATTTTAGCATATTCTTTCCCACTTTGCTTTGATCTACACAACATGAAATAATTATATTTAAAAAACGAGTCGCATTTAGTAAACTGTTAATGTCTTTTTCGAAAATGATGGTTAACTTAATTCATTTTAACAACAAATACCTGCAAGAGTTAAATATATTTAAGATTATTTTAAGACTATTCTATAATAACTACATAACCTAAACTACATAAACTGCATATTCGAAACGACAAATTAATGAATGAATTTTCTTTATTATTTTCTTGTATTTTCTTTTTTTTTTTTTCAGACAAATGCACTTGGAGAAACTCGTTCAGTATTTGCTTTTTTAGGCGATGCTTTTCATCGTCTTGTTGGTTCATATACATCTCGTGGTCACGGACGTCTTCTGCCAATGTATACACTGATATTTCCGTCGGTTATTTATTTTATGGTTCGTTATATATTGAAGTCATTTATAACTTATCATTTTATGCGCATAAATAAAAAAAGATTGAATATAGAGGAACAAGTTAGCGAAGAAAGTATGAAAAAAATTTATTACTCGGAGCTAATGTCAAACATATGTGCCTCATTTCTAACAGAAGTTTTTATGTTTCCTTTTGAAACAGTGATTGTTAGATTACATCTTCAAGGTACAAGAACAATAATTGATGATACGGACAAAGGTATAGGTGTTGTTCCTTTGTGTACAAACTATGGTAGTGTTATGGATTGTATCAAAACAATTCGACGGGAGGAGGGTTATGGTGGATTTTTTAAAGGTTTTGGTGCATTAATTTTACAATATGTTGTGCAGAGTGCTATTGTTAAACTTGTCTGTCCTATTTATAATCATTTATAACGTTAAATAACTATTAAATTGTTTTTATATTTAATTAATTGTTTTGGTAAATTTTCCTTATTTTTATTAATTTGAAGACAGTTTCAATCTCTATCGGCAGCTAAAAAGATCTGTTATTTCGAAATGAAACTTGTCAGTTTTATTTCGAAAAATATCTAAAAAATGCATTTTTATAAATACCTAAAAAATGCATTTTTATACTTATTGTATTTCGTTTACTTAAGCTTGTTAAGCGCCACACACACTTCTTCACTCCCCCGATTCTTTACTACACCCCCACCCCCTTTTCTTCACTTTAAAAAACTGTTAAACAACGAAGGGTTGTTTTAAAAAGTAATATAATTTTATAACAATCATAACTTTTTAGATGAAAAAATATTTTTTCTGTTCCATTAATTTATTCTTTAGTGTTTCAATTTAGGCAACTCCCCTATAATGCACTATGTGTCGCTTTCTCACTAAATGAGGAAAAAAAATTATAAATTAAGAAGAATTTAACATATTGAACTGATTTTTTTACAAGAAATTCTCGATTTTTTTCCAAATTAAAAAGTTTTTAAATTAAACTCTTTAGAATTTGCAAGATAATCATAGCAAGACTGATGCAATTTTTTTAAAGCATATTTGATACAAAAACGTTGAAGGTGGTACACCAGGGAAAAAATTAAATTATGAAATATTGTATAAAATGTTTCCTTTACATGAAAATTTTTGTTTCAATATAATGTTATAAGTATTTTAATTTAAAAAGATATATTTAAAAACTCATTAAAGATCCATAATGGCGGAAAAATGAACAAAAATGGCTGTATTTTAAAACATGATATCTTGATCTAGTGAAAAAGATTTATGATTTGAAATGTGCACAGTGATAAAATACTTTGTTATACTCCGATTGACCCATGCGTTTTTAAAAACTACTCTTAATTTTCAAAAACTACTCTTACCAAAAATTAACTTAAAAATTTTACACTTCTTTAGTAGATTTATTGCAATAACTTCTTATCTAACTAAATTCAAAAAAAAAACCATAGGCCAACTGGAGCATCAGTAGTAAATAAACATCTGAAAATTTCAGGTTATGTTTTTCTTACAGCTTTGATTGACCAATTTGGCAGATTAGGCAACAACGCATTGCCTTTTCTTTCAGGTCTCACTTGTATTTAGTTGAAATTAAACAAAGGAGGATGTATAACTTCTTTCCCTTTTGTTCCTGGGCAAAAATGTTCTGCACGATTAGCCGAGTCCTTGTTGTACCCGAGAATTACTGATATTGATCTTTGTCTCGTACAGTTGGCATACTCGATCTGCTTGGAAAGTAGTAAGCTGTCTAAACATTTTTTTCAGACAGCAAGAACACAATTTTTTGATTTCGATTGTAAACCTTTGCTTGATTTGGTATTGTAACAATTCACTAAATCCAACTTTACAAAATCAAACTATCCCTTTTACAAAACTTAATCTGAATTTATATTGGATAACAATTCATTAATATACCTACAAATAAAATTAATTACAAACGATAAAAATCAAGTAAATCGTTACTAAAGTTACAAGGAAATAATTCTTACATAATTATTTATTCATTCATTTGTATTTGAAAAATGTACAAAACACAAAGTGGTGAGACAAACATTCTTTTAAAGAAAATAATTTTTTAAAATTAGACTTAGTGACAATTTAGACAAAATTTTATTTGATGACGCATTCCAACAAAAGATTTTTACTGCTCTTCAAAGGACTATTCTCCCCTTTATAAAAATTTCCTCTGATTAATAATTTTAAAGGGAAAAATTTTAATTATCAAAATTTTTCCCTTTTTTTTATGTAGATATCTTTATAAAAGCTTTTAACCATTTTTTTAAATATTCATGTAGTTTATACCTTAGAAAATGCTGATATTTTTACGCAATAATTATTGCGTAAAAATATAAATTTGTTAAAATAGACCAAAATATAGTCTTGCTATTTAAAGCGTGGTTTGAGCCACGCCTTAATTAGCAAATCTATATTTTGGTCTATAAAAATGAAAAAGTTAGGTGTAGCAATAAAACAATTATAACAAAAAAATATTGTTTTTACATGGTAGAACACTGTAACCATTATATTGAAAATAATGGCCGAATATCGCAGTAACTTTTTGGAGTATAAGTAGTAAAAAAATAACAAAATATAAACTAAAACATGTTAAGAGTAGAGGAAATAGATTAAATAGAAAATAATAAATAATCTAATAATAGATTAAATAAAACTAAAACATGTTAAATGACCATCAGTAGAAGAATTAGATTTAAATCTTTGAACAGCATGCTGCAGTTCAGAACCTAGAAAATGTTGAAATTCACTGTGCAAACAACATTGTTAAACAAACGATATTTTTTTCTAAAGGCTAACTAAACTGATTTCATTTTTAACTTTAAAATGGGACAAATTTTTTTCAGGTAAACTTTCATTCATCCGGAGAAGTTTTAAATTCAAAAATCTTGACTTTGAATTGATTACTATCCGGACTTATGTATCGCCAGTTCCTTTAGAAAGTTTACTCGTTAAAATTAAAATCATTTCTATTTAATTTATGTTCTAATGTTTCTATAGTAGTTACTAAACTGTCAAATAGTTGTCGCTATACATTTTGACAATTTTATAGTTAAATGATTTAGAAAATTTCAATAATTTTTGAAGGTTATTCTCAGTTATAAAAAATTCAATTTGAATAAAACTTCCGTTATAAATTAATTAAGTAAAGTAATTGAATGATGCAAAAATACCAAAATACCAGTATTAAAACCTTTTAATACAGGTATTTAAAACTAAAATAAATCAACCGACATCTTAGTTTTCGGTACACCGGGATTGGATTCCCTAATTTTTATAAAGGATAAAATACACACGGTGGTGCCACACGGCAGCCGCATCACAATGTTGGCTGGGTATCAAGTGAACTTGATATTAAATATAAGTTGCACATTCTAACACATAGTACAATACTGTCTACTGCCTCTATGCGAATTTTCTAACTCGACTTCTTCTAACCTTCTTTCTAATATCCTTCATTCTTCTAAAAACCACTTACCCTTAGTCTGATGATTAGTGAACTAAACTTGTCTTCAAATCAAATCAAATAAAATATATTCTGAAACAAGTTGTTTAACATTTCAAGGGTATTTACAATAGTACGAGTACTAATATAAAGCAAATACCTGATACAATATATCAATATAGACATTTAGAAATATATTAATAATAATAATAATAATAATATTATTATTATTATATTAATAGTGTAAATGCTACTAACAATTAAAACAACAATAGACACTAAATCAATATATATAGCAATAATAAGTAATAATGATAGTAAAATAGAAAATAAAATAAAAATAATAAAAAAGTTAATATTACTAACATCTGAAAACAAAATAATAATGTTTTAGTTTTATCTTTTATTTAATTCTCATTGAGTAACGTTTTTAACAATCTAATTGTAAATTTTTCTTAACGATCTAATTGTAAATTTTTCCTAACGATCTAATTGTAAATTAATTAATTTTTCTTTGGACATATTGTAATAAGAACAAAAAAAAAAATTAAAAATAAAAAAATAATAATAATGATAACAATAATAATCATAATAAAAAATTCAATCATAATAAAAAAAAATAATAATCATAATAAAAAATCTTTAATAACGATGATAATATTACCAATAAAAATAAGATAAATAGAAATAAAAGAAAATAAATTGATGATGACAATAAATAAAGATTCAAGAAAATCTTCGTCAATAACAGTGATAATATTAACAATGAAGTTAGAATAAATAGAGACAAATGAAAGAAAATAAATTGATGATGACGATAAATAAAGATTCAAGAAAATCCTCGTCAATAACAATGATAATATACTAACAATAAAAATATCAAAATGAAAATAATAAATATATAAAGGAAAAGCAGAATAAAAACCAAGGAATTAAGGATTAGAAAAGACTAGGTAGATAAAATTTGATAAATAGATAGAGAATTTAAAGAAAAAATTTTATAAAAAAAAAAAAAAAAAAAAAAAAAAAAAAAAAAAGAGCAGCCGTGGCGCAGTGGTAAGAGTTCTGGCTCAGAACCCAGAGGTCCGAGGTTCGACGCCAGCTCTAGCCCAACAAGCGACATGGTATGGATTCCTTTGGAATCCATACCATGTTGGTATAGGCATTTTTCTAGAAACTTGTATAGCCTGTTATGCTTTAGTATTGTTTTTGAAAAGGCTATTATCCATAGCCTTTTCAAAAAGTTTGCTCAAATTGGAAAGAAGGGAAATGGGTCAATAGTTAGTGTAATCAAGAAGTGAGCCTTTTTTGAGGATTGGAACAACTCTAGCTGCTTTGAATACATCAGGGAATGTGCCACTTTTAAATGAGTTATTAATAATAGTGCAAAGTGGCTTTGAGATAATGTGAGATGTAAGTTTTAGAAATAATGAGGGTAGACTGTTAGGATAATAGCTTGTGTTATTTTTTAAAGTATTATTGATAAGATTAGATACTTCATCTTTACTCACAGGATCAATAAAGAGGGAATTAGAATTTGGCATATTAAGAAAGTCTCTAAATTTACGTTTTATTGGTCTGATTTCCCTGCGTAGTTCATGGGCCTTGGTATGTAGCCTCTATATAGCAATTATTCGGAGGAGGATAAACGCATGGAAAGAGGATATTTATTAAGTAAAATAGTATGTTAGATGTATTTTTATATTTATTTTTTTGTAGTACAGTCTAAAACTCTTAATTATTATTCTCGTTATCTGCCGTTATTCTCGTTAGGGCAGCCGTGGCGCAGTGGTAGCGCACTTGCCTCAGAAACAAAGGATCCGTGGTTCAAACCCCACCTCTGGGTAAGTTTAGCGACATTGGTTGGGAAGGAGGCGTGAACTTCCTATTAAATGGGCCATTGGTGATGATATACTTTCATACTTGTATATAAAAAATCTATAAATATCTATAGCTTTTTCATATTACCAGCAATGTATTCTTTAACTTTATCTACTTCTAACTGCTCTACATACAATTTTTTAACATTACATTCTTTTTTTTTTTTTTTTTACTGTAAATAATGATTTTGTTGTACAACCGACGTTAAGTTGTGCAAATTACGCAAAAAAATGTTTCCATTATAGAGAAAATGTTTCCATTATAAAGCATAACTATTGTACGACATTTCTCCAACTGTTGGAGACCAAGCTTAACGAAAGAATGATTTGATTTTTACTTTATTTATTATTTATCTATATTATATCTATTTATTGTGTTATTATTGCTACATTTTATGCTATTATTATATTTAACTATTATCTATGATATGTACATACTATTTATATTGTATTATAATTATTTTTAATATTATTGATACTTTGTTATTATTGTTATTATTTTGTATTAATGCATAATAATAACAACAATAATAACAAAATAATAACAAATAATAACGATATATGTAATAATTATAGTAATAATTATTATAATTATTACATATAACATTATTATTTGTTTAACAATCTTTTTTTTTTTTTTCTCTTATTTATTTTTTTGTTTTTGCTTTTCTTTTCTTTTTTTATTTATTTATTTATTTTTTTGAGAATTTTATGTTTTTTAGGTGCCACCTCTTTGACTAGTTTGTAACTATATGAGTGATACCTAACCAAATTCTATTAATTTACGATGAGCATTGATATATATATATATATATATATATATATATATATATATATATATATATATATATATATATATATATATATATATAAAGTTAAATAAAATTGTATCTTCATAATCAGGATTATACTTAAGTAAAAAGTAATTATCTTAACCATAAAAAAAAACAATAAATCTTCTTTTATCTATAAAAAAGTTTACAATACTAATTTTTAAAAATACTTTCGCTTTTGAAATACCAAAATTAAGCTCCGCGGAGAAAAACTTTAAAAAGTGCGCTTTTCTTAATAAAAAGCAGCATCTCATCTTGAGCGTCTAAAAACGTATCATCTTAAGCAACTTCATTAAGTACTATCATAATTTAAATAGTATGACAACAACTTATGTATTATCTCATGTAACCCATGGAATTAGCAGTAGATAAGCATAAAATATAAATAATGTAATTTTTGATGATCTTGTTTCGTTCTGACGTAATTACAAAATATTGAATAATAAAAAATTATTACGGGGATGGTAAATTTTTTTAACAGTAAAACAATCAAAGAATATTTACTATATAACCAAGAAATTAAAATAAATAACACCGTCGACTTGTATGAATATCCTTAACTAAAAAAGTTCGCGAAAAAATCATTAGTCCGTAAAAGAGGTTATACCTATATATATATATATATATATATATATATATATATATATATATATATATATATATATATATATATATATATATATATATATATATATATATATATATATATATATATATATATATATATATATATATATATAATAACTTGTTCAGCCAATATCCTTAAATTAGCAATTTCTTTCTAATTTTCTTTTAGTTCTTTATTTTTCATTGTTATTTATCATGTCATTTGAGCTGCACCTTTCCAACCAGAGGGAACTGTGTAGTAGATATAACGTTCAGAACATTTAGTGTTAATATTAAACCCTTAATCATACATTATACAAAAGTATTTTAGAATACAATCTAAACATTTGTTGCGATTTGTAATTTCTTTATCCAAAATTTAGCTTCTGTAAGCTTTAAAAATTATTTAAAGAAATTATTGATGAATTCTGAGCTACGTGTACTAATGTTTTTATATTGTTGTAATGTAATGTTTGTATTCACTCCTTGTTAATTTCTGTAAGTCAAAAGGTGTTTTCATAATAAACTCTGTTATATCTGAAATTTAGTGTGAGTCTACTTAATTTAATTTCTTAAGCCTGTTTTGCATTGCCTGTCTTATAACATCCTTACTTGGAACAAAGTTTAAAAGTGAGCCAGAAGCTTTCAACCATGAAGAAAGTATTGCATTTGCTAATTCTAAAGATATATTAAACCTGCAAGATCAGTTGTCAGTAATCCAAGTATTAGCATTATTAAAAATTTATCTTTGCTGCATAACATTTATTTTGGTCCAAGTAGTTAAGGGTTTTTTTAAATTTCAAAAAGCACCAGTAGATGTTTTTTCAATATCACTTTATCTTCTTTTGATTAATGGTGATACTGTACTAACTAATGAAACACATTGACAGATGTAAGGTCAGTATAAAAGTCGCAAGATCTATCATTTTTAAAATAAATATTTGTATACAAGTAAATTGCAATAACACGATTTGTTTGAATTATGTTTATATACAAATTGTTTCATAGTAATAACTGATGTGGTTGAAGTAAATTTTTCAAACAAATTTTTATTTTTTTTAATTTCGTGCTGAAGTTCTATTTTTAAGTTATCAATTTCCTTTTTTAATTCTTGATGCTCTATTATAAAACAACGCTTAACATTAAATTCAACATAATTTGATGGATCATTATTTGAAAAATTTGTATTATTTACATTGAATAATTTAAGTCTTTGAGCATTGTAGCCTAAGTTAAACGAAAAATATTGATTTTAAACAATAGTGCTCTGTCAGGAAAACTGTCTGAACATACTCTCATTTTATATGTTATGGTAAATAATATAATATGACGCAATAATGTAGAAGTTGAACGTTTAATTAGTTTTCTCTATATTTCTCTGAGCTGTAGTTGTTTTTATATTTATATATATCTGTGTGTGTATGTGTGTGTGTGTGTGTGTGTGTGTGTGTGTGTGTGTGTGTGTGTGTGTGTGTGTGTGTTGATAATGGATAACAAATGCTTACTCAAATGGTAGTTTGCAGTTTCACAAGTTAGAGCTTTGTTTAACATTTTGTACATACATAAATTATCTTTCCACATTTCTAGATTGTACTCGTTATTTTTACAATCGATAAGAGTGCATGTTTTCGATCTCTTGAAACTTCTATATGGTATAGGTTCAGTATTTACATTTTTTTCCAATATAAACCTCTATAACTAAAACCATTGAAATAATGTTTGTTTACGTTTTTACTTCCGTATCTGCGCGCGCATAAATTTTATATCGGAACTGTGAAAAGGTGTATTACGCAAACTAAAATGTTTACTCGATGTCCCTTAATACTTTTTCTCACTCGGGGTTGTTAATAATTGAAAAAACATGCTGTCTGACGTCGTGAATGCCAAAAATATCTAGAGTTCCAAAATTAAAATGAACCCTGTCGACTTAAAAAAATATGCTCCGGCAAACTAGTTTTTTTTTATAAAGTTTTAAGGAATACTTGTTGATAATAATTTATCTTGGCTTCCCCATATTAAATATTTACAATCAAGAGTTAGTAAAACCATTGGTCTTATGTACCGAATTCGTCTATATATAAATACAGTTTTTCTAAAGCTAATATACTTTTCTTTAATTCATTGTTTCATTAACTATGCTAATATTATATGGGCTAGTACACAACCATCAAAACTTAAAAAAATACTTAGTTTGCAAAAACATGCGTGTAGAATTATTTACGGGAAAAAAAGAGGAGAGCATACTAAACCCTTATTGAGAAATATGAAAATGATGAATGTATACGAAATAAATTTTTATCAACACCTAATTTTCATGTATAAATATATTAATAACCTAACTCCAGCTAATTTTATTTGTAAGTTTGAGAAAAATTTAAACGAAAAGTATTTTTTAAGAACAAATCAATCAAATTCCTTTAAATTGCCAAGAAAATTAAACAAATATATAGAATATACAATAGCATATCGAGGACCTAAGCTATGGAATTCTTTTTAAAAAACTGATGCAAATAAGGTAAAATCATTTAACTCATTCAAGTTTCAAGCGAAAAAACACATTTTTAATTTTGCGTAATAATAGTTCCAAAACAATTTTGTAAATTTATTCAAATGAATTTTACTTATTATTCTTAGTAGTTACTAATGATATACGTTTCTTTTAATGTATTAATTATCAAATCTTTTTGTATATGTTTGTATTTGTATTTATTTCTTTGAATACCTAAAATTGCAATATAGTTATTGCAAAATATCTTTGTATTTGTTAAAATAAGTTTTTCTTGTTATATCTTTAGTTTATTTTATATATTTTTTATTTTTTTGTTACTTTTATATCTTGGATTTTTATAACTCTTTTTGAATATTTTATAATTTAAAATATCAAAATTTTATTATACTAAGGGGCTCTATGAAAAGATTGAGGTGATATTGCATCATCCATATCTTCTTTGAGTCCCCGTCTGTTTTTAAAATATTTTATTTATTGATATTTACCATGTTAAACTTATCTGTAATTTATTTTAACAGCGAAATATAAAATAAAATTTTAAAAAAAAAATGTGATTGTAGGGCACGTTGTCAGAGTCCTTCATATTTTATGGACCTGCGTGTCTTTTAGAACATGTATCACTGTTAGACAATATCACTTTAGAACATCTACCACTGTTCTAATAAATTTTAATCTAACCTAATCATACAATAGCAATATTATTAAACAATACAAAACATAAATTAACATAATTTAAAAAAAAAAAAGAAACGATGAAAATGTAAAATACACCTAATAATCTTTTTAATACAGTTAAAATAATATGTGGTAATAATATGTAAAAACAATGATAGAGTTTAAATAAATATAACAGTAATATAATAGAAAATAAAAATAACAAAAACAGTTATAATAATAATGATTAAAATCAAACAATAATATTATGACCGTTATAAAACCTAATCGTCAGATACAAAAAAACACGTAACAAACGAAAACACAACACAAAAAAAGTAACAAAAAGTATAAAGTGTTTATAATGAATGAGTAATATTGAAATGAAAGAGAGTGCGAGGAAGAGAGAAAGAAAAAATTAAAATATATTACAATATTATCACATGATAAAATAGTATTCAAATAAGTATCATTTTGTGTAATATATACGATACATATTCAGAAACTGAAAAAAACTAAATTTACAACATTACGACACAACAGAACGCAAAAAAAAAAAAAAAAAGAAAAACAAGAAAGGAATAATAACAACAATCACATAATACAACAAAGAATCTTCCTTTTTTTACAAATATAGTTCTATTATTTTTATATAATATGTAAGTTTTTTTTCTTTTTTCGTCTTCTTTTATTTACATACTTTTGTTCTTTTTTTTTATTATTCGATTTTTAGTTTTTTTTTATTATTCGGATTTTTTCTCATTTCCTTTTTCTTTCAAGTTTTTTTCGTTTCCTTGTTTTTCTTGTTTATATTTTTAATTGATTTAATTATTCAATTTCTTTTACATCATCATATTATTTTTCTCTTTATGAAAACTAGAGGTGTACCGGATACGATATTTGACCGGATATCCGGTTAAAAATACCGGATAATTTACTATCCGGTATCCGGTCGGATAAATACTATATCCGGCCGGATATACCGGATAATACTTTATGCTGTTAAGTTCTGGTGTTATTATGAAGGGCGTTTGAACAAGTCTTCAACTAAAAATTTGATTCCGAACAGCGAACGTTAAATGTTTTAATGATCGCTATTGTAATTACGTATCACTTAATGATCACAATCTTACGATCACTTATGATCAATTAATGGTCACAAGCCTATCTTCAATTTAAACTTCCGAGAGCACAAAGAGGTTTGAAAAACTATTAAGAATTATTTAATAAATACATTTTTTTAGGGGAGGGTAATTTATCTTTTAAGTAGAAATTTAATTTTGAGAACTCTAAATCAAAATGGCTTACCGACACGCTGCTAAATGGGCTCTAACATGATGTTTTTAAAAGTCTCAGATATGACATTATCAAGCTTTGTGCAAACTCTAAACTTAAGTTTTTTATACTTCCATAGAATGAAAGTGTTTTGCATCAAAAAATCATGGTAATTAGAGCTTGGGAACAAAAATAACCTTAGAGGTTATTTTCTCAACCACCTATCTCAAATGCAAGGGAAATCATTTAGTTATTTCATTATACTATCTAATACTCTAGCTAAATTCATCAATAGGTTTTAAATTTCATCAATTAATTTATGTTCCAAAGTTATGACCATGTTTAATTTATTACCCCTTCAATTTGGAGAGGGGTAAAAACACAGTCATAACTTTCCAACAATTTTTTTAAGATTTAAAATGATCGAAATTGAGAATTTAAAGAATTTGTTTTGCAAAAAAATTTTCTATCAAAATAATCAAAAAAATTTTTTTTTTTTAATGTTTAAATTTTTTTTTTGATTTTATTATATTTTTTTGAAATTTCATCATAAACTTTTTTTTTTTTCTTTTTTGATATTTTGTTATAGATTTTTTCACTCAATAAATTGTCTTTGTTTAAAATAAAAATTTTGAAAAAATTTTTGGAGTAAAATTCATGAAAAAGATGGCCCAACCATGTACATATTTGCTGCCTGGACCTTGCCCTTACTTTGCATATTTGCCCTCTTGTCCCTACCCCTTATACACACTTGTACACTTTTAGATAATATTGACATTTTTAGATAATGTCGCCTCCCATACCTGCATACATACTTTATGAATGCCTCTTGAATCAAATTATTAAATTCAATGAAACAAAATGTTTTAGAAAGTTAATAATACTATCAAAGAACATAACAAATAAAATTTCAACAAATGAGTAAATGCAAAGAATCATTCTATTTTCCTCCCATTACGGTGAATAAACAAAAGCATTTCTCCTGTTTTAGGCAATAACCTAGATCTCTTTTTCTCATAGATATTACCATATTCTGAGAACAATCTTTCAGAAAATATGAATGATGCAGGAGTGCATAGATGTTTTGAAGCAATTGTTTTTAAAAGAGGGAATCGTTCTTCTTGCATCCAGGTCTTTATTGGTCAGAGTTTTCTGTCTACAAGTGGTTCAGAATAAAACTTTTTTATTTCTTTTCTAATCAAAATCTCATTTAATTTTTTCTCTAACTTTTTTTTAAAAGGTAATGGTTTTTCAGATGTTGCATTTATAATTTCTTTGAAACATGCTTCAAGAGTGTCTTCTTTTTCAGTATTAATTGAAAAATTTAATTGTGATGGTTCTTCATTTACACTAAAATCTACTTCTTCAGAACAAACAAGAGTTTTTTCAAAGAATAAAATTTCATTTATTAACCAGTACTTAGCCTGTTTTTTGATATCATCCTCAAAGAAAGAAAACTTATATCTTGGATCAATTGAAGTAGCTATGACATAGTACCTATTTTTCAAAATGTTTAAAGACTTTGCATCATTTATTTCAGAAAAAAATCGATTTTTTAAAGAAGTTGTAAGCCGATTCTTTGTTTCTTGAATACTTAAATCAACTTGACATTTTGACATAAATTTCTTCAATGAGCACATATTTGGAATTACAGAAGACAAAGCTGTTATTTCTGAACTTATTTCCTGAGTTAATTGGAAAAAAGGCTTTAACAGTTTAATAATGTTTAATATTAATGTCCATTCTAATGTAGAAAAGGGCATTAAATCAGAACGTTCTGCTAAGTATAGTTGAATTGGAATTTTTAACTTGTTTAATCTATCAAGCATAAGATAAGTGCTGTTCCATCTTGTTGGGACATCTTGAACAAGACAAAGAGGGTCGAGATTTTGTTGCAGCTGAATTTGTTTAAAGTTGTTACATGCTAGAGATGAATGGTTAAAATAAGTTACAAGTCGACGACATTTTGAAAGAACATCAATTACAATATTTTCACTTATTGAATCTGAAACAACTAATTGAAGTAAATGAATAGTACAATGGATTGCGGGAATTTCAGCTAGATTACTCCCACTTATCATGTTGCTTGCACCATCTCTTACAAGAATATGTCGTCTTTCAGTTTGAATTTTCCAGCTATCCCACATACTTTCTAACTTTTTAGATATGTTTATTCCAGTATGGCTTTCAGGAAAATGAGAAGCATGTAATACCACATCAAATCTGTTAAAATCTTTATCGATGGAGTGGCTAGACAATGAAATAAATGATTCATGAGAAATTGGGCATGTCCATATACCTGAAGAAAAGCTTATGTAATTTGTTTTTATTAATTTATCAGAAATTTTATTATTTAACTCCATGTAAAGTTGAGGTATTATTGTTTTAGAAAAAAATTTTCTACTTGGCATGCAATATCTGGGTTCTAAATGGTTCATTAAGTTATTAAAACCTGTATCTTCAACTAAAGTAAATGGCTGGTTGTCTAAGGCCATCATCAACCCAATTTTACGATGAATAGTTTGCGACCTAGAGTCATTAATGCTCCATACCTTTTGTGACTTTAAATATTCATCTATTGAAGTTTGTTTAGAAGTTTCCAAAACAGTCTCTTTTTTTACTGTAGTACTAGTTGAAAAAAATTCTGGTGTAATTTTATTGACAGCCTGAGCTTTTTTTTTCTGTTCATTTTTATTTCCTTCTATATGATATTCTTTTGGATGATTTATTTTGATGTGGTTATGCAGAGGTGTTGTACTAAAACATTTTTGCCCAGCCTCCATAGTTCCACGTTTAATCATTTTTTTACAGATATTACAGTTTGCATACACATCACTTGCATCATTTATTTTATACAATGACCAGATAAAGCTCTGCATTATTATGTTTGTCTGAAATATAAAACTAAACGTGTTCACAATTGACATTAAATATTTAACTATATTAGTATAATAGTTAAATATTTAATAAATATCTTGGTATCAAATGTATGTGTATAATAATTATACACATACATTTGATACCAAGATATTTATCTGTATTATACAGATGGTAATTTTGATATCTATACAGTGTATAAATACTACATTGAAATTAATATTGCATTGTTAACTTTCAATGTAAACATTGTTAGATTCCAAATGCATTGTTACATTGTAAAGAAAACAATAAAAAAAATATAACAAAAAAATTAAAGTAATAATACATAGTTTGGAAATTTAGATAGCAACCTAATTTTAAAGTTATTGCTACGTAATTAATTGTTAATAAATTTTCAAACTACAATAAAAACAGATAATCCAATTATGCAGTAAGACATGCAAAATGTAATACAATTTTTTTTATTTTTTTTGTGGATTTACACACTATTTTGCACTTTCCCAATTTGACTAAAAACAAACATCAAAACTAAATCCTATCCTAATTTTCAATATATCCGGCCGAATATGAAATTTTAAATCCGGCATATCCGTATCCGGCCGGATACGTAAAATGCTATATCCGGTACATCTCTAATAAAAACTTCTTTTGAACCGTTGAAAAAAAGCGCCTGAATTGGCAAAAGTGCGTTATAAGAATTTGCAAACATTGGCATAAGTGCAAAGCAGTTGCAAAAACTGGCATAAGTGCGAATCGACATAAATGCGAACTGACAAAATTTGCAAACATTGGAATAAGTGCGAATTCACTTATGCCAATGTTTGCAAATTCTTTTGACGCCCCTACCCCGTTTTTGTAACTGCTTCACACTTATACTAATGTTGGCAAATTCTTTTGGCGCACTTATGCCAGTTTTTGCAACGCTTCGTACTGTTCACTTACCCCAGTTTACTTTATTGCTAGGCTAATTCTTGAAAACAAAGAGATAAAAAAAAATTAATAGATAAATAAAGTGATAAAAATAAAGAGATAAAAAAAAAATTCACCTCTGCCCCTCCCTCACACACTAGGATAACCTAAGGAATTGACCAAACTTAAACGAACGAGAGCGCAAAATGAGAAGTCATTTTAACGTTTGCGCTCATTAAAAAATTTGTGCCTGATTTATTTCATACCTTTTAAAAGTTTTTTTGTTTTATTTAATATATTAAATAAAAAAATATTTATTTAAATTTAGCAACAACTATCTAAAAAACTATGATTTATTAATTTAAACGAACAGCTAGATATTACATAAAATAGAAACATAACTAAAATTAGTTTAAAGTTCTTTTTTTGTTTTCTTTTTGGACTTTGAGTCAGGTAATTTAAAAGGTTTAGTTGCTTCTGTTTTTATAAATTCAATAAAGCTGTCTACTTCGCGTGCAGAATTGTACTTCTTGGGACTCTGTTTATTTCCAGCTGGTGCCCAGTAGATAGTGGGGAATCTTAGGTAAAAAAAAAACAGAAGAAATAGAACAGAATATTTACAGTGGTCAATAATAAAAATTGAAAAAGAGTAAAAAAAAAATCAACTCAATGTTAGCTCAAATGATTTTACTCACCCACTGACTTCGTAAGGAGGTGGTACATCATTTGCAGTAGCATCCATTTTTGCAATAACAATATCTTTAACACCAGCTAACTTTTCACCAAGTTCCTTGTACTTAGGTTCAAGAGATTTACAATGACCACACCATGGAGCATAAAACTCTATAAGCACATCTTTAGTTGGATCATTAACAATCTCATTGAAATTCTCTCCCACAACAATCTACATATTAATAAAATGCATTAAAACTACCATTAAATAAATAAGCTGTATAACGTCTAATTTGATAATGAAAGCAAAATATTAAAATTATTAAAATATTAACACACTTTAACTGGACCATTGTTATCAACAGGTAAAGGCTCAGACTTAATATATGGTTTTAATTCTTCATTCTTGAACTCATTTGTAAACTTTTCAAGATTTTCAACACTAAAATCTGTTGTCATCTTAAACTTAGAACCTTTTACATCAAATGCCACAGCATTGGGATCAAGATTTGATTCAACAGTATCAAATCCTAAATCAGTAAGTTGTTTTGTGTAATCCGCTCGAGCACCAATAGCAAAATTAATTTCATTTACAAACTTCTTGGCCACTCTAGCCACACGATTTCTCCAGTATTTAGAACCCTAATATATAAAAATATTTGAATATTTATAACATATTGCAATACTTTGAAATATATTTCCACATACTATATCATATCATGAAAAGTTTTTAAATAAGTGGGTAAAAAAGATGAAAAAGAAATGTAATAATTCTTACTTTAGGATTTTTCTTCCAGTCTACATCATAATACACAACAACTAATGGCCTTGGGAACTTATCTTCTGTTTCAGGTTTAATTTGACCCACAATTCCATTGGCCTTTTCTGTTATAAATTTAATAATGTTAGAAGTATCTAAATAAGTATTTAGTGTTTCTTCAGCCTTTTCAAAGTTGGCATGTAAATGCTTTGGGCGGTAAAGCACTAACTCACTAATTAAAAAATATAAATAATTGAAAAAATATAATAATAATATTAATATATAAACAATTGTGAAAACAGCATAACGCAACCCTCGGAATTAGGAAAAATGTGGTCGGTAAATTATTGCCGATCTCATTTTCCTATCTTTTAGAGGTCGGCATCAGGTCGGCAAAAAAAAAAAAAAAATTAGATACAAAGGTCTTACCATAAACAAGGTCGACAATATTTGCCAACTTCAAACACTTTTAGGTCAGCAGTTAGGTCGGCATTGCTGAATGCCGACCCTAATTTCGAGGGTTGATAATGACAACATAGACATCTTTTTACAACACATTTCAATTATCAGTTACGATATGTTTTTAAGTAACTTTTTAAGTAATATGTTTTCAAGTAACAGTTAAGATATGTTTTTAAGTAACTCAAGTTAAAAACATAAATTTTGAGTTACAGGCAAAAAAAATCTGCTAATGGAAAAAAAAATCTTACTCTATATGTCCTGCTTGTTTATTGATTTCATTACTTAATGAGTGTGCAAAGTTAAAATCAGTTCTTTTTTGATCAGCTGCTTTCATAAAACTTTTAAATTTATGATCTTCACTGGCGAAAAAACCTAAAAATATATATTTTTTTGATATCTACATACTCTTGCCTATTTGTCCTAAAGTTTTTCAATGGAAATTCACTTTAAATTTTATGCTAAAAAGCAATACTGGAATAAACTTGAAAACTTGAGAGTCTTCCATTCATTGAAAAAGCATTTACCAAAAACTCTTAGACATGGTGTTAGCATGGAATATATTTTTACAGCGTTTTTGCAAATATTTGCTATTTTCAACAAAATATTGTGAATTTTTAACGAACTTGTTCTTTTACTTCAACAAAAAAAAATTAAAAAAAAAATAAATAGTTTTTTAAACTATTTTTTACACAAAACAGATTTATTATTAAATTATTATATTATATAAACTTACCAACAATAGTTACATCAGCTGCATCTGACAACTTTAGCTGTAGATGCTCAAAATCTCTCAATAGTACTGAGGAAGGTCCAGAATTCTTCTTCATGTAAGAAATAATTCCAGCAGATTCACGTGGACCATCATATTCTTGTGAAAAACCACCATTTCGAAAGATTTTTAACGTAGGATAACCACTAACACCATACTTGCTACAGCTTTCTTTTCCTTCTCCAACACAATCAACCTAAAAAAAATTAATTTTTGGAAGAAAAAAAAAAGAATTTGTTTGGTTTTTGTTAGTAACTTTAGTAGATTAAAAACTTGCTTATATTTAATTCACATGGTGAAATCATTTTTATATTAACTTAAGAAACTCTAACCTTTGCTAATTTAACAGGGGGATCATTTTTGAGAAGAGCAGTAGCAGCAATTTCATATTCTGGTGCTAATCTTTTGCAATGCCCACACCTAAAATAAAAAAGCTGTTAAATAATATGGTCAAGGGATATAATAAATAATATAATGCATTGGAATCCATTTCGACAGAAACTACACAAAGTTGCTTAATGATTTGTAAGCATAAAAAACGCATAATTTTTATTTGTTTTCTTGAAAAAATGGTACTTTAGATTTTTGTGTAGAAATTTTGTATGTTATGTTTTTTTCTTACCCATATTATTTGCTTTGATTTTAGCGCTTGATTTTTTATGTGTTTTTTTTTGGTGCATTACAGTCAATTTTCATGTTTATGCCAACACCAATATTTCTGTTAATGAAACATACATTCAATTATATCTATCCATATGTGTTGCATGCTCATTTATTTGCACCTAGTCAGCTATGTGTTCGTTTAATGTTCACAGTTTTAAAATTTGTGTGATTTGGAGGGGTTTAAATAACGTCATACTACTTAAATAAGATTATAAAAAGTTAAAGCAATTTTTTTTACAAGAGACCTTTCTGACATTACAATATTTTACAGTCCAGGAATAACTACTTTTATTGTTATTTTGCTTTTAAGTTTATTGTTATTTTGCTTTTAAGTTTATTGTTATTTTGCTTTTAAGTTTATTGTTATTCAAGATTTATGAGTTCTAACCACAATTAAATTGGGGTTTTATAGGCAGAGTTTCTCTTTTCTTAAAAATTTACCATTACCTCAGCTAAGTAACCACGCTTTTTTTTTTTCAAAAAAAGTAAATAAAAATAATGTGAAGCATAACATTAAAATATTTTAAATTTTTTTTTGTGCTGTATTAATAATAATGAGAGAAATTTACCAAGGAGCATAAAATTCAACCAAAATTATTTCTTCATTTTCTATTCCAGCTTTAAATGTTGAATCTGTTAATTCTAAAACATCACTACAAAAAACAGAACTAATTGAAATTAACACGAGGATTAAACCAACCGCCATCTTGGGCTGCGTTCGAGCAAAAACGTCAACAAAACTTTAAACCAGAATTTACTGCAGTTTAAATCATATGGTGGCAAGTTCCCATTGGTTACAATTTTGAAATCTTCATAATGGTAACCTCATTATCGCAATCATACTTTAAAATTAGGCATGAAATTAATATTTAGAATTAAAATAAAACTTTTTAGCAGGAAAATTTTTTTAAGTTTTACTGAATTAAAATTTAAGTAATACAAATGTAGTAGAATATAACAAAAAAAAAAAAAAGGACGTGGAGAATTTTTGTTACGCTTTTACAGCGACGGAACCTAATTAAGTGCAATGGGGATAAAAGATTTTAGACTATTTTGAAAAACGTTAACGTTTACAAAAATATCGTAAGAGGTTTTTGCCTATTGTACGCGACTTACTGTTGATAACTGCATTTTTATTGAGTAAAGGTTAAATTAAAATTTGAAAATAAAAATTAAAAACTTGTTCGCTAATTCGTCGTTCGTTGCCTAGATTTGAAGTTAAAGCTTTTTAGATTACATTATGAAATATTTTTTGAAAACCTATTTAAAAAAATTGAATTTTTAATACTTAGCTCATTTGATAACTTTTAATAAAAAAAATAGATTGAGAATCCACTTTTTATATTATTAATCAGATTGATAATATAAAAAGTGGATTCTCTATTCAATTTTTTTTTTTTTTTTTTGGATTTCGAGATAAATTAAAAATAAAGTTCCATAACAACAGCCTGTGCAGCGCAAAACATCCATAAACACAAGTAGCTAATTTTAAGTTTATTCTGCAATTGATTAGTCATAAACACAAACATGTTCATAATAGTTTTACATTTTTACTTTTTCAAGTTAAAATGAAAAAAAAAATCTTGTTAAATGATGACATTCTGTTTAATAGCTTAATCTTTGACAAAATAAAAAAAATAGTTGTTTTTCTAAAAAGACTCTGGGTTTTCTTAAATTATTTAAAGACAAAAGCTAAAGATATCTATGATGAAAGTAAAATTTTAATAAATCTTAAAGTAATGAAATGTCCTAGTTGTTTCTTTTTTTTCAGAGAAATTTGTCACAAAAAAAAAATATTAATATATATTATCCATTGAAAAAATAATGTTCTTTAACATATTTTTTAAAACTGGAAAAAAGTTTGACTAATTGAAAACAAATTGGGCTGAACAATTTTATTCCAAAGATAAGTTCTTTATTCATATTTAAAAAAGTTTGTTTATGTCTTTGTCTGATAAAAATAAATTGGTGTCGTCAGCAAACATGATGCTCAAACAGAAGATCAGAAGCTTTATTTAAAACACTATATACTAAAAAAAAAAGTGGACCAAGAATAGAACCCTGTGGAATACCAAATTTTGTTTCAATTAATGTTTTGTTTTTGAGACTAATAGGACATAGTTCATCCCCATAGTAGAAAAACTGCTTCCTATTTGACAAGTAGCTTTTGTACCATTTTATCAATTTACCACTTATTCCGTAGAATTCAATTTTTTAAGTATCTTGATTGACACTATTTGAGTCAAAAGCTTTTGATAAATCGATAAAAAGCGTTTAGTTTATACAGTGATTTACCAAAGGACTTTGAAACTTCACGAGAAATTAGAAATTATTTAAACTGAACAACGGCTTGTTCAGTTGAAGTATTTTTTTTAAAGCCGAATTGGTTTTTATGTAGTAAATTATTTGCAATAAGGTAGTTGTATGTCTATTCGTATTAAATGTTTTCAAAAACTTTTGAAAGCGTTTTGGTTTACCGAAAGGTCGTCCACCTTCTCTAACAGGTTTGCATTACATTAAAAATTCAAATTAGAATGCATATAGATTAAAAAATAGGCTATACACCCTTTATTAGAGTATATTTGGTTGAGAAAACCTAAAGTGTTTCCAGAAGTGAAAAATGACAAATTATTAGTTTTACAAAAAAAAATCAATAAAATATTAGGAAAAAATAAAATTAGAAATCGAATAATTAACAACTCATCCATTATGACTTTTATCAATCTGTTATCCACAACAAATTAGGAAACTATTTTAAAAACTAAAATGATTTACTGCATACTTCATAGCCAGTAGCACATAATGGAAGAGGTGATATGTACAACAAAAAATGTGGCACATAATGGAAGAGGTGATATGTACAACAAAAAATGTGGCACATAATGGAAGAGGTGATATGTACAACAAAAAATGTGGCACATAATGGAAGAGGTGATATGTACAACAAAAAAATGTGGCGCATAATGGAAGAGGTGATATGTACAAAAAACATAAGCACTAATGGATTTCCCAAAAAACTCATTATAAATTATTCTGAAATTACTAATGATTTTTTAATTTCTAGTTCATTCAATCATTCGTTTGTTAATACGGGCCCAAGTTTGGTTTCAAAAGTAAAAAACAGTGAAACTTTAAATCATACTTAACCTCTAAGAATGATCTTATGGAAATTAATAATGTGAAAAAGACCTATTTGATGCTGTAAGTTTATTACAATCAAATAAAGGTAATTTATTTACTTACATTATCAACTCCATAATTGATGATGTAGTCAGGGGCGGATACAGGTTGTAAAGGGGTCTATAATCAGCCGCCAATGATTTTTAATGAAATGACAACCCAAAATGGACAGTTTCCAGTACCCTTTTCTAACTAGTTTTGTTAATATAACATTTGCAAAATCATTGTTTTTTTCCAAGAATGAATAGCAAAAACACTTTCAATTCTCAACATTTATATATTGAATACACTTTTACATGTATTGTTGCAATTTCCAATTACAAAGCAAGAGTATGTTTTTTGATATTACAGAAATACGCTGTTAGTTTTATAGAGTGAATGTCTGTCTTTTATAGAGTGAATATCTGACCTGAGAATGGATCGACATAATTATAAATAATCAATATATCGACATAATTATAAAATTAATCAAATTTTAGGGGGGGGGGGGGCACGAGCCGGCTGTGCCCCCCTCTAAATCCGCGCCTGGTAGTAGCAATGTAATAGTTAAATTATTATTTTTATTTAAAAGCTTCACTTTTGCACAGTTTCAGTCTTTCTTTAGAAAAAGGAATCATTCCTGATAAACTATTGCGAAGGTAAATACCAGTTCTAAAATCTGGAGATGTAACTTGTATCGTAAATTACAGGCCTATTTCAATACTACCATGCTTTTCAAAAATATTAGAACATATTATGTATAACAGAATGTACTATTTCTAAGATATTAATAACATTCTTTAAAATAAACAATTTGGAATCAAAAAACTCTACTGATCAATTGTTCCTCTTGTTCACGATATTCTTTTGATAAAAATAAATATACTTTAGACGTTTTTATTGACTTAGCAAGGCTTTTGATTTTGTAAGTCATTATATTTTAACCAAATTAAAAAGTTACGGTATTAAACACTCGAACCTTGAATGGTTTAAAAGTTACCTGTCAAATAGACAGCAAAATATTTCTCATAAATGGTTTAAAAGTTACCTGTCAAATAGACAGCAATATATTTCTCATAAATGATTTAAAAGTTACCTGTCAAATAGACAGCAAAATATTTCTCATAAATGGTTTAAAAGTTACCTGTCAAATAGACAGCAATATATTTCTCATAAATGGTTTAAAAGTTACCTGTCAAATAGACAGCAATATATTTCTCATAAATGGTTTAAAAGTTACCTGTCAAATAGACAGCAATATATTTCTCATAAATGGTTTAAAAGTTACCTGTCAAATAGACAGCAATATATTTCTCATAAATGGTTTAAAAGTTACCTGTCAAATAGACAGCAATATATTTCTCATAAATGGTTTAAAAGTTACCTGTCAAATAGACAGCAATATATTTCTCATAAATGGTTTAAAAGTTACCTGTCAAATAGACAGCAATATATTTCTCATAAATGGTTTAAAAGTTACCTGTCAAATAGACAGCAATATATTTCTCATAAATGGTTTAAAAGTTACCTGTCAAATAGACAGCAATATATTTCTCATAAATGGTTTAAAAGTTACCTGTCAAATAGACAGCAATATATTTCTCATAAATGGTTTAAAAGTTACCTGTCAAATAGACAGCAATATATTTCTCATAAATGGTTTAAAAGTTACCTGTCAAATAGACAGCAATATATTTCTCATAAAAAACTTGTGGAGTACCACAAGAATAAATTCAGATTCTTATTTTTAATTATCATATCAATGATTTAAGCAAATCTTGTAATATATTAGACACAATCTTGTTTGCAAATGATTTTAATCTTTTTTATGTTTACAATAATATAAAAATAGGTAAAATATCAAGTAGCATTGAGGCCAATAGACTTTATAGGGCAAAACCTCTTTTTAAATTCAATTTATTTAGAACTCTTATGTTTCTTCTTTATTCATTCCTATTTTAATTAGGCTTGATATAGAACCAATGATTGAAATAAATTGGAAAAATTCTTTAATATGTAAAAACAAGGTGTTATAATAGCGTAGCTAAGCTATTATACCTCCTTGGTAAAAACATGAATCAGAATTATATACAATGAAAGTCGCAATACATCCTCCCAACCTTTATGTTAGATCTCTCCGGTGGAGAGCTGTAATACTCTCGCTAACCCGTTTATTTGTCTTACTTATTCTAGCCTAAACAAAATTCTAAAAGAAAATTCGAAAAGTATTTGTTTTCTGTGTAATGGTAAGCATCATATTTCAATTTGTGATAAAAAAAACAATTCTGGAGTGCATGTAAATAAACCAAATTCAAATAAAACCATACCAAACACCCAGGGGCGGGTTTAGCTTTTTAAAGAGGTTAGTCAAAAAAGTCGGTTGCGGATTTTACTGCCCCCTCCCCACGAAAGGACGGGGGGGGGGGATGAAGATGAAATGGGGTTTGCATATTTAATATATATATATATATATATATATATATATATATATATATATATATATATATATATATATATATATATATATATATATATATATATATATAGTATTAAAACTAGCAAGGATCCATTAAATCTACAAAAATAAAATATTGTCTGTG